AGGACAGGTGGATAAGTGCCCGCTCATCATGTTCGAAAATACAACTCAAAAACAACTGGATGACTAAAGGGTGTTCTTTTTAGATATGTGGTTTTCAAGAAGAAATAAAATGCATACAATTTTATATTATGACCAAGAATTTAGCTTCAATAGGTCTGAGTAAGGCGCATCAACCATGATGTACAAACCACCTAAACTAAGGGACATGGAGATCACCCTCTATGCAGAAGGAAAATATCTCGGTCAACTCAGCTGGAGCTGAAACTCGGCAGAGATATCAATCAAAGCTATAACTGCACTTTAAGCTTGCAAAACGGTTATAAGAAAAAGATGGAGTCTAAGACCAGTTCTCGTATACTTGAATTCTACTCTACCGCGCCACCGTTTGCTGGGTGGCGCTCGATACTTTCAGGAGCAAATTGGAGAGACTTCAATGAACGGCTGCTATCCTGGTAACAGAAACCCTAGTAACTCTTCTCAACGTCCTTCCTCAGGATCTATACGAGAAAATGTAAGCGAGCTGCAACGCAATCGGATTGAACGCAGCTCAACCTTGGAAGAATTGCAGTGTAGGACACAGAAGGAGCTGGACTACACCACTTCCAGTATATGTTTCGAAAATATTCTCTCTACGAGAATCCCAAGCAGATATAAGGTAGAAAACCACCAGTGCTTTCTGCATAGATGGCTGGAAGCTTGCTGGAAAAGTGGGCTACGGAATTTATTCTCGCATACTCTACTACCACTGTAGCGATTTCCAGGCGGAACTCTTTACCGCCGAGTGGTTGCTCAAATCTACGGCTGCAGGAAAATCGGTTACAAAATACACCGATTGAGGCGAGGAAGGCAGGAGCCTCAGCGGTAACACAATGCGCATATTGGCCTAACTGCGCTGGTAGTTGTCCATCAATCGCATCAACTTAACTCAACTCAAGGCGCATTAACACTTCAGTGGTACCTAAGCTAAAATGAAAAGGAAAAATAAATGAAAAATTATATATATATTATATAGTACAAACAAACATTTCGATCTCCGCTCGTGCTCTAATACACTTGCAAGCAAAAGCCCACTGCTTTGACGATCTTATCATTATCCAGTAAAATGAATTTAATTAAAATAAGACAGCAACAGCAACAAAACATGAATACAACACGATTCAACAGTTCATCAGTTCGACAAAGGACATGAAACAGGAGGGAGCTGAAAGCAGAGAGATAGGGCGAGAGAGAGAGAGAGAGAGAGAGAGGGGGAGAGACTAACATCAAAATGGAATGTTGTTAATTAATTACTAATGCATTATTAGTTAATGCACTGCAACCAAAGGCAGCAAAGATACTTGCGTATAAAGCTTGTACATATTTGTAGCTTTCTATTATATATGTAAATCTTATATATATACATACATATATTAAATATAAGCAAGTAGTGCAAAAGTGCATAAAATTATTTGTTAAATCTTTGATAAAAGTATTGAGTATTTGTCAGGATTTGTTATTTATAATGAGAGCTCAGGAAAACCATTTGACCGATGGTCGGTCAACACCTGCTTTGGAGGACCAAAAGACCACTTCATGCACATTTATGCATGTAGTATGTGTGAGGTGGTATTAAGTGTAGCATTGGAATTTGTGGCTGGCATTGTGTGAGCTCACGCAAACAATATCTTTAGTGTGTAAATACTTTTCGAAATGAGCAAATAATTTAAAAGCTTAGCATTTTGTGCATTAAAAATTAGTGGATTAATGGATTATGCAGGGTTGATTTTTTTTTTCATTATTTTTGTCTATTTGGTGGAGCGCCAAGAAGGTTTGCTACTCTACTGCTGACGACTTTTCCATATTCAACATCTTTTTTTATTCTTTTTTTACTCTTTACTTAGTGTTTTCGTGCCTCTTAAAAGGGATTGACATTAAAATCTTGCGCATATCCAACGCTGGACCCCAGTAATCCGCTTGTAAATATGCAAAAGTATCTACTTTGAATTTATAAATTTTTTCTATAAAAACAACAACAACAAAGGGAAAGCGTAAAGGGTTTAGATTCGATTATAACCAGCATCCAATTTAAATTCATTTGTTGGTAACTTTTTCGTAACAAATCCCATAGTAAATAAATAAAAGCACGGGAAAAAGTTACAAAAAGGAGAAGAAGATGCACAGCAAAAAAAAAACATTCCCCAAAAGAGGACAAAAATAACAGAAATTTCAAAAAAAAAAACAAAGCTTGTATGCAAATCACCACCGAAGTCGCAAGGACGCAAGTATTTGCGCTCGTAAATCCTTAAGCATTATCTGCCACTTGGCAAAACATTTAAAATGTCACTCGACATTTGTAGCGACATTTAAAAATGGTTGGCAGCCTCGAGTAATATAAAGAATTACAAAAAAAAAGTGGAGAATAAAAAAAGTCTTGAAAAAAATTATTCGAAAAGGCACACGCTTAACGAACCGGCATTGCTTAATGAGCAAATTGTCAAACGCCACCAAATAATCTGCTACCCCAGACACAGCGACCCACCCAACCACCACCTGCTAACTAATAGTGTTTGCTACCCTCGTATTAAAAAGAAACTTCACTTCCTCAAAGAGCAGAAAAATTTGAAAGAAGCATCTTTTTTTGTGCGAGAAAAATATCAGCAGAGTCATTACTTTGGTGTGGGCTGTTACTTTGCGGAGCTCAAGATAAACAGCTACGGTGATTTAATTTTCTGTTTAGTGATTTTCTTGCCCCCACCCACATAGCTTGGCCCTTCGACGATGCGCACACCCAATCAATCAGTTGGTTTGTTCTTTTTAACTTTTTTCTTTTACGCTCTCCCTCTCCCCCAAACATGAAGTTTATTTCTCGTCACACTCCATTTGTGTTCGGCAAGATTTTGAGGTAAAAGAAACTTAAAAAAGTTGGCTGGTATTCAAAGTGGACGACATGACGTTCGTCAGCTTTTGATAGATTGACAGACGACGGTTGGTTTCACGATGTTGCCGGAAGGGCGAAGAATTTATCGACCCTGGTCAGTTTTAAAGTGACTTCAAAGTGCCGATCTTTTAAGTATGTAAGATATGGAGCCACTTTAAGAGGCTTAGCAGTTTCAATGCTAGATGAGACTTAAGTTCTACCGATTCAGTGTTCAAAAGTCTCTGCTCTCAATCTAATGGCTCTGGATAGAAAATCCCTACGGTCGAAATTTCTTAAGAGCCTCTTGAATAACCACCGAAAGTCCGATATAGTCTCAGGTAAGGCCATGAACAGGCTCCTAAAGCTGGAAACTACTGGAGTCTTACTAAAAAAAGTTTTAACTAAATCGGAAATATAGGTGACACCGTCTGAAGAGTTTGATACAACTAATTCGATTTTATATTCTCGTCGAGAATGAAGAGTTCCAGCTCTCATTAAGCCTAGACTCTCAGGGGCGATCTAATATTTTTTTTCTTATATTTGCTGAGTTAAGTTTGTTTAGGAAGTCCAGCCTTGCCAACTCATTCTGCTTACAGAAGAAAACTGCACTTTCAGAGGCTGCTTTGAGAGGCAACACCCGATTTAGCTTGAAAGGATTAAAGTTAAGTGTGTGTCTCCACGCTGATTATCTTCTTTTTAAAACTTAAAAAATGTAAAATTTTTTGCTTTCGACTATCTTGAATTAAATATGCCGAAAAATTTCGCTCAAGTCTGGAAATTTGAGTGAGATTACCTAAATGCCCGCACCAAGAATCCTCCCACGTCTAATCAAAAACAATACTGCACCCCAGATCTGAAGCCTCGAGCTCACCTATGAGCAATTAGAGATGGGAAAAGAGTTGATCGAAGGAAGAAGCTATCGATAAAGTTCGATCCGTTAGCGTGTGTGAAGACATGTATGACAACAAAAGCTCAACAGAGATAATAAAAAAGATGCGCTTTTAATAATATTAGTCAAGGAGTTTTCCATTAAACTTATTAAAAGTTTCACCTTCCTTCTCCAGAGAGGACGAACTACTTTATAACCTTTAACTTCAGTATAAGATTGCTATTCCAGGCAGAAACCAATGGAATCAAATAGTTACAGCATAGACAGACTCGATACATTTCCAATATAAAAAGGTCGGTGGTGGAATCTACTCAAAGAAGCTTGGGAGTGCATGTGCTTTCATCTACTGGCTTAACCAGGGATCATCAGCAGTGTAAGAGGGGATCATGCACTGCGGCTTATAGGGGGTTAATGATACTCTGAGTAAATACTGTCAGCCTACATATCTTCTATCTTAACTTGGTATGGATATTAGGACCCATTGCTATTTCGGTAAATAAAATGACGAACCAGGTTGCAAGGGAAGGCACTCGGCTTTCACTTTCGTAATCATGGAAGAGATTGAGCCATGCACTAACCACTTCTAAGCTCATTATAAAGAGTTGTTTATCGTAGATGCTAACTTAGGATGGAAGAGGCTCAATTGCAGAGACTCGATTGTCAATGTGTCCAGAAAGGCTGGTCGTTGTATCAAACGATTGATTGAGTTGTAGAGGGAAGGAAGTGCCTCGATTACTTTTTTCTGTTAACATAAACACATTAGTTTAAATAACGAATGGGTCTCTTAGTATTCTCAGTAGTATCACAAAGGACCCCCTGGGTAAGCTGATGCCTGGGAACTACTTCGACCTACCCTAACCTAGATCCTATGTAAATCCTTCCCAGTGGTGATCAAGAAAGTTGGCCACAAATGATTAGCTTCGAAGACCGTATCCCAAGTTATCGCCGAAGTTCACCAAGCAGGATCTGTGAATTCTTTTAGTCCTCACTCTAGTGTCATTGTAAAAACGCTGCGTTTCATCTACAGCGAATCCCTGACTTCAAATAAATCCAACTCCATATTAACCGAAATATCTTTCGTCGCTATTAGCCTGTTCCGCAGTGTATTTAGTTTACATAAAAAAGTTCAAATTAATCAAATTTCCATTAAAATATGAACATACATATTTCCCGTTATAGACTATACCACCAGTACACAATTCACCGCCAACTTACCCCGTCCGCTGCGTCCAACGAAGCGCAAATCATTGAATTTAGCCACTTGATTTTTCATTACGGCCGTACAATTCCGCAGCTCCGCACAGAAATTTTCATCATTCCCCGCACGTATCGTCACAATCGTACCATCCATCACCTCGCCGAGGGCGAGTACTTTAAAGGCAATTGGTAGCGTTTTATTCGAGCGCCAATGTGTGGGCAGTGTTGTGCAGACCTGTGGAAGTAATGGAAAAAAATACGAAATAATTTTGCTGCTTTGTTGTTCTTTATAAATGGTAATTTCTACTTTTTTGACAATAAATTGGCGGAAGCCAATCAATTCGAGAGAGGTAGAGAGAGAGAGAGAGAGAGAGAGAGAGAGAGACGACCAGAAGGGGCTAGCTTTTGATTAATATTTCATAGAAGCGAGCGAAGACAGCTGATTGGAGAAGTTTTCTTCTTGGCTACTTTTCTTACCATATCTTCAGCTGACATTCGAAGCGCCTTAGCGGGCTCTAAAATAAAGCGGAAACATATCTTTGGTACACTTTGAAATCCCATCCCATATATTCTTTGAAATATTTCGTTAAAATTCGTGATCAAGTCTCTTTCACCACGCAATGAACGTCAGTCATATGGTTCAACGAAACCTCCGAAAATCATCCTCTGAAAGTTGGTTATCTGCTGCGGAGCGTCAACATTTTGAGAAGATGCTGGAGTCGCTCATCAGTCCTTTAGGTAAAATACAGTCTTTGGCCTAGAATCTGTCCGCAAGAGTGAATACCCAACCACCATTGACTCATCTGAGGTGGGATATTTCAATGTTATAATCCTATACTCAATTAAAGCAGTTGTCCTGAAAAAGATTTTTATAAGCCCGCAAAGACCCCCCACCCCCCACCCCTGAAGCTGACTTTAAAGCCTTTTAAAACCGTTGTATCCCTTGTAGCATTGCGTTCTAACTTTCGAATGGCCCCGAGTCCTTGTCCAAATAAATCCAGAAATGTAGAAAATCGATTTCTCTAATTGTGGCCGCCCCTAGTGCAGAAATGTCAAACACTCCAAGCGTATCTCTGACATGAAAATCAAAGCTTCTTATTAAAGTCCATCAGTCAATCGGAAACAGCTTAGAATAAACTGTAGATCCCTCCAATTGCTGGAAAAATACATAAATAATACCGTACTAGAACAAAAAGAGGATCTCATCTTAAAGACGAGAGTCACTGTTGTATAGAGTGGTCAACCGCGCCGCTCTAGTAAGGATTAGAGCGGTGTGTGAGTGAAAGCTGTTACCCAAGATCCACCGTTGTTCACAAAGGCTTTGCGGCTTAAGTACACATCGAACCGTATAAAAACCGACCAATCACAGGGAAACAAGACTCGTTGAAACTCTACCTACTAAATCAGAGGCCACTGCTGCCTGAAAGTACTTATAAAAATCTTCAATCAAACATTTAAATTGGTCCCCTTCGAAGATTATTTCTACGCATAGTCTTGACGAATATTTATGTAAGAAATGTTATCTAAAGCACTCTCAGCAGTGTGACAATCCTGAGTGCAGTTCTCCGGTATTTGGGAATATGGAGTCAGACAACCAACCTTCATATAGAAAACTCTTTTCACACTTCTCTCTACTTACCACATGCGGCGAACCGGTTTTCACCAACTCTCCCGGATGTTCGGCCAACAGTACATCTACAGTTCGTTCGAGGAGATTTTCCGGTGTCAAGTAGGGACTTGTGTCCACCGGCTTTTTACTGTTACTATTACCACTATTGTTGTTGTTATTATTATTTGCACTAATATTATTATTGCTGTTGTTGCTACTTGAGTTATTATTATTATTATTATTGTTGTTGGCATGGGCACTGCGCTTCGCTGACACACCACCCGAACTGCTCGAGGGCGGCTGTTGGTGATTTGTGGTCGAGCTCACTTCACTTGAGATGTGCATTTTTATTGTGAATTAATTTTTTTTCTCTTTTTTTTGCGAAAAGTGTTTATTTTATTATTCTTATAAACGACATATGTACGCCCGCATTAAGACAAAATGCTGTAAAATCTCAGATTTTTTAATTTTTTTCCTCTTTACTTTTTGCTATGACTTACTGTAAGTATGTATGTGAGTGTGTGTGTGTGTGTGTTTGTGTGTGAGCGCCAATCACTGAAGTCGCATATAAACTTTGAACTTCAATTTGGCAAATGAGGCGAATTTCCACAAACTCATTTGCATATCGAGTTAAGTAGAAGGATGTGTATGTAAACGGCGACAAGTCATGTGTGTAAATACGTGTTGGCACATACATATATATACATACACGTATGCATGTGAGCTTTGCTGTGTGTGGCCACAGCAATCAGAATGAGTAAGTGTGTCTCTATATATTTATATGGGAAACCTGTTGCTTTGCGAGTTTTGCGTAGTCTAAACGGAAGTGAACTTTTAACAAATTTCAAATATTCGAAAATACAGACAAACACACATATGTATACATATGTACATATATATAAGAGCTACATTGAGTTGGGCTTGATTAAAGCGGTATTTTTGGCGCTTTTGAAGATTTCTTTGCTTTTGTTTTTCTATTTTTATATCCAAGCCCAGAAGTGTTGCACAGCGTACAATAGCTTTGTTTACTTAACGGTTGCAAGCACGGTACCGAGAAAATAAGAGCAAGCGCCACGATTCGAGACACAATTTGCTCATTACCGCTAAACTGGTGTGCAACTAGCTTGACAAAATTAAAATTATAGAAAATTAATTTAAAAAAAATTGAGCTAGTTCTTTTAATTTCGGACTCTTAAAAATCCAGCGGCTTTTCAGAATCAGTTCAAACTGAGCTGTAAAAAAAACTATTAATTCTGCCGCATTCCAGCATAAACACCCTACACCCGGTGCACCTGAATTACTTTAAAATTTATGGAGAGCTTCTAACGAAATCAGTTTTGGAAAATATGGTTTAAAAATTGATTATCAACTAAGTGGAATTGACCATCTTTAATACTTCTTGAAATGAGTATATTGGTATTCATTTAAAAGCGTCGTCAATTACGAATGCGAATTACCCCCATTCGCATGGGACGCATTTGAAAACGCTTGAAAATTTTCAGATTTGGGTAAAAGTTCATAGAATCTTGAATTGAATTGGTATTATAAATGCCAGCCTCTTTAATAATTTCTAATTTTCTTCCTCCTTAATATACAAATAGTCTTTGGTTTCAAATAAATGTTTGTGTTAGGCCTTCGTTTATGATTCTCTTCTCTTTTGTTTTGATTTGTCAGCTGGTTTCGATAAAATTTCGATAAGAATTAGAGAAGGCATCGATCAAGGCAAATTCACATACGGCAGTAGCAAGAATACAAAAACCAAAGCTCCATGTACTTTGTTTGTGTAATTATAGTTTCGAAAAGTCAAAAGGAAAATTCTTCAATGTATTTTGTTTGTGTAATTTGTTGAAATGGGAGGAAGAATAAGCAATCATATAATCTGACGACTTCACCTCCTACAAATTCGCCTTGGCATCGATTTGGTCGTACTTTTACTGTAATTCGCTCAGGAAAAATTTTATGGTGACTTAATAAATTCGGCATGTATTTGGAGTGCGAATTACGCTTGAGAGAGCGAAACACGTCAATGAGCTGTCGTGGAAATGCCGTGTAGCGTACATACAAATATAAAAAGTCTAGAGAAATCATTTCGTGTTATTCTCGTCTGCTTCTTATAACGTTTTTTGAATAGTTTCTGTAATTGCTTTTATATAACTATTTTCGAGTTTGAATTTTATTTTTTTGTTAGTTTTTTTTTTTTTTTTTTTTTTTTTTTTTTTTGGTTTTAATTTTTTTTTTTTTTTTTTTTTTTTTTTTTTTTTTTTTTTGTTCTACTTATTTTACGACATTGGGCCTTATATCCAGTTATGGAGTTCATTGTCAAGTAAACAACGGTATATAATTACTTAAATAAAATTATTTTATTATTAAGAAAACAGTGCAGTAGAAACGTAATTTTTTTAAGTTAAGCTCCCCTACCGCAATCAGCTGGTGGAAGGTAACAAAGTAAATTTAATTTGTGTACTTATATTACTATGAAGGCTATCTGCCAAGTTCCAAATTCTGGTGACCTCAGCCCCTAATAATTTGCGCTTTTGTTCCGCAGAAAATTTAGAGGCGCGCCTTTGGCGTTTCAAATTTTTCATCGAAAGCTGGGTTAACTTCATTTCTGAAAATTGTTACTTTACTTTCCTTAAGAAAATAATTGTTGACATATATATTTTGCCAAGTTCGCACGGGACTCCACACTAGTTTTTTTCTGAAAATGGAAACATATGTCAAAAAAAGAGATGACGTAATCGATTCTCGAACTCAAGATGAGCATATTATTCAAAGTTCACATGACAGCAAAAATTTTCTTAGCCATGAACTTAAGCGTTTTTTATATGGAGTTTGCTTATTACTTAAAAACTGTGCAACGAAGTGTGAATTCTCTCATTTAACAAATACAAATACATGTAACATAAATAAATACTATATATGAATAAATAGTAAAGTTTTGTCGATATGTGATCCAGGCAGTGATTATGGTATAGGTTAGACGGGATGGGAGAGATTATATGCTCTCACATACGGTTTGGAAGAAAGTGAGTAGAGAGGCATTAACAACTGTCTCGCTATATATGTGTCATTCGATTGTATGTAACGCTCTCACAAACGTTTTGCTAGTGTCCATCCTTGTAGGGCACTATATTCCCGATGTCCGTCTGTTTGGTAATTTTCTTTCCGTCTTGTCTGTATTAAACCGATATGCTTGAAGATGTTGGTTTGTTTTTTTACTTTTTGCAATATTTGAGGACTAAGATCCTATACTTTATATTGGCTATATTGGCTATATAAATAACTGTTAAGTGACTAGAACGGGAACTTTCGTAACTATGGCAAAATGCTTGCTAAGATCGCTATTTACCAGACATATCTGGTCACTGTTTGTAAGGAAAAGAACAAAGCCTCTATACAATCCAACTTAAACATATATAAAAATCTAATATCCATTTGGAAAGATCCAGTAATGTCTGAAAATCTCTGAAAGTTACCGAGCGCTTAACTTGAAATTTCCTCAGATTGTTTATACAAAAAAAACTTTGGGAAAAAATCGCATTTATTGTTCGAGTCACTTAAAATTCGTTGCAACTGTGTTCTCATTTTAACTTCTCATTTAAAAATGACACATGAAAATTACAGAGGAACGTAATACAACCGTCAACCGGACCTTTCAGTGATAAAAACGTCCTCATCTAGGCGGCGCGGCTACAGTTCCCTGTTCGGCTAGCGTTTGCAATCAATCACTATCAGCTCAAGGTAAGTCTTTAGAATTTTGTGTTCTACAGGCTACATTGTTGCATCATAAAATAGTTTAAAAATTTTGTTACATTGCAGGGTACAGTTAGTTTATATTAGGTGTAGTAAAAGAGATCCATTATGTGACCAATTGACGGCATTGTTTTTCTGTAGCTCGCGTTGTATAAGCCCGATCGAGTTCCACCTGATGGCATTTCGTAATAAAAAAGCTTTTCTGACAGTTTTATGATTGGTGGGAACAGTTTTTTTAGCGTACGTCAAATATGGACACTATCAAAGAGAAAATACGCTATATTATACAGGATCTTTTCAATAAGGGTGGTCGTTTATGGTCCTGATACTGTTACGTTAATTTTGATGTAAAAGATGTTTCACGCATTAGATGGCCAATTGTCGCAAATAATGATAAAATCATGGACTTTTTCGAGTTCGAATATCAAGTAAGCACTATTCCGATTGCCCAAGAGCAAAAGATTGGAACAAGCCTGGATATGAAAAGAGAAAAATCAATCATTCAATTGTTTTCAAAAAATGATGGATTTCTTTTTACTACCCAATAAATATACATTGACACCGAAAATCATCAAATGACCTTCAACCAACGTGAAATTTTGTATTTTCCACAACAACACAACAAAAATTCAAATAAATATTGACCTTGAAAATCATCGAAATCGAATTGCGCATTTTGCAATAAATTTGTTAAGCTCATGAATGGTATAAAGACTTCGGCATGTGGCGTACTCTACTCGTTTATCCTTACTAAGCACTTGATTGATCTTATGGCGAGAATTACCGTTATTATGAAGAGCATTACATTGATTTGGCTTTTCCTTACATATTTTTCGTAAATAAAAAAATTATATTTTCAATTCTTTTTTCACTTCCCAAAGGGGTTACGCGAATGCACCGCTAATGCGCGAAACCATTAAAACGATTTCACATCAAAGTGTTGACACAGACCCCGACGCACGGCTCGTTAGTGGGTACAACGACAGTTATGCTTTGATCTTCGCATATTTTTACCGCGCTTTTCGCGACATACAAATTGAGTGCATGAATTTGTTTCACCACAAAACCGGCACGTAACTGTGCACTATGTACAACTACAACAAGAACAAAGAACAAACAAAAAACGCACTTGCAAAAATTGAAAATCACATTACTTTTCTTTTCTATTTGTTGCTTTTTGATTTTGCGTGACTTTTCCACACTGCACACATTCCTTTTGTTTGCGCGTCCGCAACGTTATGAATCCGTTATTCGATTAAGCAAATCAACTGCTGAGCACTAACACCAAAGACAACGTTAAACAGCGAATGTGTAAAATGTGTAAAGTAATTCCTTCAAAAATTTAAATGTCAAAAAAAAAAAAAAATACGAAACGATGACAACAGCAACAGTATGAAATGAAATGATGAATCAAAAATAAAAAATGAATACAACAAATAAAAATGAAAAAAAATCAGCGAAAAACTGAAAACTGCCAAACAGTGGTTGATAATCAGAGTGTGCGTGCGTGCGTGTGGGTGTTTGTGTGCGCGTTTTTAACGCCAAACAAAAGTCATACGCATACTCATAGACACATACACATATGTATCTCTTCTATACAACATACACACACATATATTTATACGCTTTAAAAATCATATGGTCGTTTACAATCGCGCATATCCTGGCACACGCACGCCCGCAGCTGTTTCCATTATGTATGTGTGAAGTATTGAACAAATATATATGCATGTACATATATGTATTTGCATGTATTTTTGTATTTATGTTTGTATGTGTGCTTGCATCCTGTTAATTTCGTGCTCATCCCATTATGGAAACCAAACCTCATGCTTTCACTTGAACTTGTTTTTTTTTTTTTGATTTTTTAATTTCTTTTTTATTCAGTATTTTTATTTTATTTTTCTTTATTCACTCAGTTATTCACTTGTACATGTACTGCGAGTATTTGCGATTTTTATTTTCACAATTGTCGCACAGTTTGTTACTCGTTTGCTGTTTTTTCTTCTTTTCCCTTTTTTTTGTAACAATTTCCGCTTTAATACTACTTTTTTAATCAATTCATGTTATTTTGCGTTTTTTTTTTCATTAATTTTTATTTTCATATCAAGTGCCTGCGGTGGACCGAATGTCCGTAAACGTTTACTGCGGCGGAAATGTACCGTAAAGTGGGGCTGTGCATTTCATGAGATCAGTTGTAGTTCACTTTTCGCCTCTTAAGCCCCAATCGACTTCAAAATTGTGCGCCTGAAAATATGCTCAGACACAGAATTAAAAATTTAATTAATAATTAATTTAAATTCAATTATTTTAAGGCATACCTCTAGGCGGAGTTTTATTTAAAAAATCACAATCAATGTGAATTCTCTTATTACGAAATTAAAACATAAAATTCCTTTTTAATAGCTTCTGTCGTTTACGATCTGGATTTCTAGAAGGAGTCATGTTGGAGATCGTAATGAAAATTGAAAAAGTTCCGTGTTTGTATCAATCTTTAGTTTTAAGAACCTGGAACGATGCTACGCTGTAAGATAATAATTTTTTTTTAATTTTTCTGTGCCCATATGTTGATGCTGATGATCTTTGGACCTTAAGTAAAGTTATCTGACCACGAGAAGATCCTAAATAGACATGTTAATTGTGATACCACCAAAATGTAAATAAATTTCCCATACGCTGACCCAGTCGTTATTTAATAAAACGTTAATATAAGTCACAAATCTTTAAATATCAGTTCAAAGCTAGCCTCTTTGGGATTTGCGACCATTTGCGATTCGATAGTTTTTATTCTCTTCGCAAAAATTCTGGATAGTTCAGAAGAATGTGTATAGTTTCCAGGCATACCTCCAAGCAACTTCGAGTGGGTGAATATCAACAGAACACTGCTCATTCAAACCCCTTACGCAGTGAGTTCAGAATGAAAAACCGCTTCCATGAGCTTCTGCACTTCAACCTGGGGTAAGAAAGAAGTTGACAATCACATAAGCGAAGATACTAGTTTAACGCACGCTCAGCTGTTTAAAGGCCGCCTACTTGTATAGAAGCGGATATTTAATGACAGAGTATCACCTACTTGTGCCTTGTACGACTCCTCAACTTTATGATTCCCAGTGATATTCCTATGACCTGATACCAACAGAATTTAATTGTAAGGTATCTGTCACATTGATAATTTTCTGAGCTCACTTTGAGTAAACTTAGGACAGTGATTGAGCCCCGCTATATAAGTAAATATTGGACTGTGTCATACCCTCCGTAAAAACCATTGGAAAAACCCTAAACCTGAACCTCCGGCTGACGTGAAATTACAGTAGGAATACTCTCACGGTTAATCGAACCGGTATTGCATAGTACTCCATGGGTATCATTGCTTGCTGCCATTCCGGGTTGGAGTACTGGTTTGACCACCATCCAAAAGTAAATTTTCTAATAGCGATCGCCATTTGGTAGGGAAATACCTGACTACAGTCAAAGTAGTTCCGACATAAAATAATGGTTCTTCATAAATATTCATCGACCGTTCGAATGCGTTGGAAAAACATCAAAATGGATAACAAAAATTTGGAAGAGAAGCTCGGCCAAAAATCACCAATTATATGTATTATATATAATCTTCCCTTCCAGCTTGTATCTTTCAGCACGGAAACAAATGCATACTCCAAAAGCTCCATAAAACAGGATGGGTTTAGGGCAAAGCTCCATCTTAAACCCATAGCGTGACTTTAGCAATTGAAGGCAGAAAATATGGTTTTTTCTTTCTCTTCCCGAATACTTCCATTTTCATGATTTTTCCCAAGTATTTAATTCTATCAGTCAAATGCTGACAAACACCCTTACAGCAGGAAGAACTGCCTTTTGGATTCTATACTTTCTAGTAAATAAAACCTACCTACAGTAAGACGAGGTCGCAATACAGATAAGGCTGGAGAAGAACACCTTGACTCGTTTGGACTTTAAATTGTAGGTTTCATAATAAAAACCATTATACTTTTAATTTATATGTTTGAGTCGAAAATCTTCAAATTCAGTATTTTTGATGGTCTTCTAAAGGTAAATGGGATGTTTCATCCACACATTTATGTTACTCATACGCCTCGCCCCGTACACAGTTTTAGTGATATATTTATGAATATGTGAGATGATCATTTTTGACCTTCTCAATTTTTTTAAATTGTTACTTTTTTGGTAAAAGTTTGAGGCCTTTTAGTCAAAGAAAATATGAATCAATATCAATTCAAGAAAGACGCCAACTTTCTTATAAACCCAGGAGACGAATTTTACTTTCCTTTGAAGCTAAAAAATCTACATCCTTTTACGGTATAGTTTTCACATTTGTCTGTAGTATTTAAATGAACTGCGTAACTGTTGATGATGACAATAATAATAATAATCGCAAGGCCCATCACCGTCGTCATCACCAGCATCCTTGACCAACATGATCGGCAACAACGCACTTCAACCTCACCGCTCACATGTGAACGCCCGCCCAATAGTACTTCGTACGAACAAAATACAAAGTACAGCATCTGGATAATAAATGGTGAATAAACGACAAACTGATGAGCGCGTAAACACAGTTAAACATCTGCGCTTGTCTGATTGTCTGCCTGAAAGGACACGGGCCAGATGTGAGCACCCAGTCTGCCTGCGCGTGTGCTTCCAATGTGACTGAGTAATGACACCGTTGAATTGCCAGCTAATAGATGTGTGTATGTGTATGTATGTATGTGTTGGCCACCGCGGGCTGGTTGACCAGTGATATCCGCGTATATTATTGTGAGATATTAAAAAGTTTGTTCCCCCTCTTCCGTTGTATACTTTTTATTTATTTTGAGTTTGGAAAAAAATTTACTTCAGGCCATCAGATTCTTTTTTTTTCATTGTAATTCTATTTTTTATTTTTTTTTTTAATGTGACCAATAAAATTAGCAGCAACTGCTTACACAATGATGTGTACGCATCTGCCCATAAACACGCATACATACACACATGCGAGGGAATTCTAATAGCGCATTGAAAACAAATTTTTTTTTGCAAAAAAAATCACATAACAAAAAATTGTAAATTGACTAAAAAAATTTTAAAAAACCAATGTTGAGTTGTTGGCCATATTGCGTGTTGCCACACCGGTCGCGAACGCGGTCAGCGAATGTACAAGCAAACAAACACACTTGCATGTATTTACAGTATATTAGAGACATAGCGATGAGGCGGCCCCTCTGTATACTCTATTGAGCGCTGTCCAGGACTCAGTGGAGTGGGCACCAACAATGCGTTTGGCAAATTAACAGTTGCGGAAAATGGTTTACCGACAATGGAAAAAGTAAAAGGTTTACACACATATATACACACAATAAATGGTTTATAAAATGTTGAAAGATAAATAAATGTCAACAATTGCTGGAGTTAATAAAAAATAACAAAATCAAAGGGGTGCAACGCAAAAGAATATTGCATATTTCAAACATACATATATATGTATATTAAAATTTCTAATTTATTGAACAAAAATTTATAAATAATATAAAATTGTAACTAATAAACAATACTCATTAAAAAGCAGATAATAAATAATAAATAATAAATAATAAATAATAAATAATTAATAATAAATAATAAATAATAAATAATAAATAATAAAAAAGAAATAATAAATAATAAATAATATATAATGAATAATAAATAATAAATAATAAACTATCAAATAAAAAAATATTAATAAAAAATAGATAAAAACACAAAATTAAATATTAAAAAAAAATAAAAATAAAAATAAAAAAGGAAAATAATAAAAAATAAACAATATTTATATAATAAAAAATATTTGCGAAAATTCTGCTTGAGCCAAGGACAGATTTATTCACGTAATGGTGAATTTTTCTTGACAAAAAAAGTTGCAGTTTCGTGAAGCTGCAGTAAAGGGACTTAAGAGTAAAAAGCGTTCTCATCTATAAAATATTCCCTTAATTTCATGAAAGGTATAAATTTTCTTATATGAATATATCATTTTTAAAACACCCCATACATATTTCCAACCAATTCTAATAAATATAAATTGAATTATTAATATTTTTATTTACCTAATGCAGCACTTCTGAAGAGTATACCTAAATCAATACTTCATGCTGTCAATTTTTTATTCCATTTTTTTTTTTCTCCGCGGTAACGAATTAAGTATATTTGCTAAGCACTCAGAAAAATGAAAGCCTCAACCTCAAATTTGAATGTGTGTTTGATTGAGAAATATTAATCTAATATTTTATGCTTATTTATTTTTATTTTATTACATTTTATTGACCAGTTCTTACAAGTAGCACTTTTAGAAAAATCGTATTTATATTCTTAGTCGCCGTCATTTGGCTGGCATT